CGAGTGAAACCTTGAAAGCTTGCGAGATCAGGATGGTCTCACGAGGCTCGTAATGGTCCAGATCATGTGTGAGTTTTAGCTATAGGTGTTTAGGTTGATTTATCCTCAGATCTGAAAGGGGGCCAAAACTCCTTTAAAGTTTTGTGTACCTTGAATTTATTTGTCCAACAGTCAGGAATTGGACTGAAATCGAAAATATTTTAGATCACTGAAGAAATGGGATAAAATCCCAACATGGGTACTGGATCTTTGCTTTTCACTTCAAACATGTATAAATGAGTTTACTTCAATTTCTTTTTTTAGACTTTATTGTCCTCATCGATCATCGAGCTTTATGGTTAATTTGTTCTCGTCTTTCCCCCGAAAGACGGTTTCCTCCCAGGTGGATAATTCCTGCTGTACCTGTTTTAGAGCAGTGAGGGTCTGGATGCCGGACGCCTTGGCCACCATGGTGTGGCTGTTTCCGACGCTGGGCTGCAGGGACAGGGTCAAACCCGACACGGCGTGAACTCGCAGCTCCGTGATGGAAACCTTGTCATCCGTGACGGAGAAGGACGCCTCCCCCAGCACGGCGTCCACAGCCAGTGGAGACTCCACCTGCGGAGAAAAAAGATGAAATGCTTTTATTGCGTCTCTCCACACGACAACAGGGGGGACATCACTTTAGTCCAAAATAGACAACAGCTTTATTGTCTTTGTAAAACTCATAAAGCCCATGACAAGCCAATTTTAGATTAAAGCGCTGTGTGCTTCTGTTATTTCCAGTGTGTCTTGAATCCATGTGTCAATGCCTCTCAGTCTATCAAAGCAGGGGGGGAAAAAAAGAAAACAAGCAAACGATAAAAAAGCCCCACTTGAGACGGAGTCCATCACCATCAGCGGCTAGCAGACAGCAAATAACAACATGAAGCTGTAAACGCATGTCTCAAAGTGACGGCTGGATAAAAAAAATAAAAACACACACACACACATCTCAGTGTCATGGATAATCCCAGCCCTTTGATAGGTGTCTGCACAAAGCCCCCTTCGGCCACTTATAAAGCACCACCATTTCACATTGCCATTGCAGGCAGAGGTCATGAGGGACAGCTATCACAGTGAAGAGCCATTCAGCCAAGGAGCGGCCGCACTCTTAAAGTCATACGGGGAAATCAATTCCAGCTTCATCTGGAGCGTTTTATAACTCCGGAGTCAGAAAGCGTGTGAAAGCTGCAGCGGCAGCAGAGCGTTCGGTGTCTGACAAGCTTCCACGATCACAGTCGGCTGAAACCTTGAAACAACCGGCCATCGTTCAAAGCACACGTTAAACTCATAAAGCCCGTCTGATTTACAGCCTATATGACCAGCAAATATTCCACCTGGTAAAAACAAAGCGGTAAAGATCTGACACCTGAGGAATGGGAGTCCCATCGCAGGATCTATGTTTTATTTTCACAGCCTCTGGGTTAGAGCTGGTCTAAAGCTGTATAGGTCCTTAGGCAGAATATGATTAGGGGTGTACATAATAATGGTTTTGTATCGATGCATCGATCCAAAAGCCGACGATCCGATGCATCGACACGTC